GACCTTGATATGCTGGAGGGGCGTAGGGATGTCGCGTCTGTGCGCCTTGGGTCTATGAAGCGATAGGTGGCCAAATACTATAATCGTAAGATGCACCCCCATCAGATACGTTTAGGGAGTATGGTGTTGCGGCATGACTTTCGACGAAAGGCGAGCGAGGGAAAACTCGCGCCAAAGTGGAAAGGGCGTTATTATGTCCATGAGGTGATAGGGCCGGCCACGTTCAAGCTGGAGCGCATGGCAGGGAAGGCCATCAAGCATACTTGGAACACTCAGAACCTCAAGGTATACAATGGCACGACAGAGGTGACAATTTCGGAGTAAGCTGCGTTGGGCAGCAAGACGGGGCGCCCTAAATTAGAGGTAGAGGTACTACTACTGCAAGAGCGCCATACCACGCGCCTTAAGTATAGAGGTAGGGGCGCCAGTATTTTGGTCGTGAGTTAAGTATAGAGGTAGAGGTACTACTACTGCAAGCGCGTCGTACCACGCGCCTTAAGTTATGTTTGTAAAGCGCCCTAACATTTGCACCTTGTAATTGTTTCACCAGTAATAGTAAAGCGTCCCACTTCGAGTGTCCTTACACGTGGTGGAGTAAAATGATGGTGTTCATTTGAACGTTCAACTCCTATGAATGCACTAGAACGTAATACGCCCTCTGACATCTATTCTCGCCCAAAGTCAGGATACGTAAAGCGCCCTCTAATATTTTGCGCCCGACAGGAGGTTTTGAAAAGCGCCTTAAAGGAACAAGACTGAAAGTTGATCAAATAAAAAAGAAAACGAGGTCAAATGAAAAGAACAGGGCTAAGAGTTAAGATACAAAATAACTTGGCTGAAAGTAAGATACAAAATAATAAGCAAGGTAGAATGGGCGCCCCATCATTCCTCCTCGCTCTGAACAGTGCCCTCGGGCGTCCCCTGCGGCTCATCGGGGCGCATTTTCTCGCCCTGCTGGTCCTCCTCATCCCCCGCAGCGTCGTCATCCCCTGCGCCTTCGTCCTCCTCATCATCCGCCTCTTCATCATCCACCTCCTCGTCGAGCGCCTCATCTTGCGGCCGCTATCCATGAACTTGAGAATGTGCATAATCAAGACCATGGAGTCCCACTCCACCCCGGGCTGGGTCTCACTGAACTTCTGTTGCAAGATTTTCACCGTGTCAATCACGATGTCAGCCTGGAGGTTTTTTCCCACCTCGGACTTGTGGTACTCAGCCAGATCCCGAGTGAGGCGCTCTGCTTTAGTAGGCGACGCCTTCAGATCCTTCTTGTAATGATCCTTGGACTTTTTCAGCCTCTTGGTCTCTTCAGAGATCTTGCGCGCTTTGGCTCGGAGCCCATCCGCCTCTTCCTGGAGCCTGTCGCGCTTTGCCACCAGCTCTACCTGCCTCTCACGCAATCCCCGCTCCACCTCCGCCATCTCCGCTTGGGTGGCAGCAGCTTGCGCCTCATAGCGCTTTTGGCACGTTTTCTCCACGACCGCCTTTATTTTCTCACGCTCCGCCTCCAGGCCAGTAGATAACTTGGCAGCCCAAGCCTCAGCCTCCTTCTGCGCCTCATCCCAAGCGTTGGCCAGGGACACATGCGCCTCGCGCGCGGCAGCCAAGTCGTCACGAAGGCGCTCAGCAGTGGTGGCGGACGAGGCGCTGTCTTTGACCATCAGATCGAATTCACGAGCGGTGGACTCGATCAACATCATCATCATCTGTCATATACACCACATAATAAAGGGTAAGTCAGTCTCGCAAACAATCGAGAAAAGCAATCACTAAAGAGCAGGAGAAATGGCGCCTTACCTGCACTGTGAGGTTGGCCATGTTACGTAGAGGCCGGTTGGTGTTGAGATGGTCCGGGCGCTCGATCACAGCAGCATGGGACAACACCATCTACATTGAGGCGCCCGGATCCTTCATCGCCTTAACGGGCACACCAACTCAGACCTTCTCCAATGGGCGAGCAGGAGGTTGGAATGGGGCAGCGTCGTCCCGGTATTCTCCCCAACGGTTGGCATTACAAGGCTGGCCGGCTCGCCTGAAGCCACCAAGTTGTCCAACTTGGCTTTCTTCGCGGCGAAAAAGAGCGGCTCCGCAGGCCTTTTCCCGTGCGCCTTGGGTTTGGGAGGGCTCTTTCGGCGTCAGAGTATGGTATGAAGGCTGAGGTGGTTCAGAGGCGGCAGGTGAAGGTGTCTGCTCGGAAGGCGCACAGCTGGTGAGGAGACAATTCTCACCCGCGTGGGCGCCTTGCGCTGGGGTTGGGACTTGGCCTTGGTGGCCTTGGTAGTCTTGGCGCAGACGCGAGGTGCAGGAGGGATCAGGTTAAGCTTTGACCGAATAAGATCGGAGACGGAAGTGAACTCAGTCCCTGCAAGAAAAACGACGGAGTCACCGACAAGGCACACAAGGCGTATGAACAAATGTAAAGCGTATGGCAAGTCTGGCGCATGCAAATACCATCATTGTAAAATTCCTCCAAGAGACGGGCGTACTCCTCGCTTATTTCAAGATTAATCGGCTCCGAAGCAAGGCGCGTGCTTATTAAACTCGGCTTCATCACCAAAGGCCCACTGTGTTAGGGGCGTTGCGCCGCTTTCAAAGACTGGCGTGTCGCACCGGCGGACGAAGAAAAAAGATTCGAACCACGAGCGCCCCATCTTTTTACAGTGGCTGATGAAGTTGTATCCCAATTTGGGGCGCCTTTGAAGGCTGAAGCAGTTGGGGCTTCGGATCATCACAAAGAAATGTCGAAAAAAGTTTGAAAGAGGGAAGAATGATATGTTGGCGACACTTGAGGCGGAAGAGGACAGTGTAAAGAATAATGATAGGGGAAAGGCGCCCGAGGGAACATTGGCATAAATGGAGTACGCCTTCGAGGATGGGGTCGATGGGGAAACGGAGCCCAAAGCGGGCGTACTCTTGGTAAACACCAATCCAGCCCTCTCCACACACCCCGACGCGCACGACGGGTGATGGATACGCATAACGCCAGTCAGCTGGCATCTGCGCGGCTCGGATTAATTTCGTGAAGCGGGGGTAGAGTATCTTGGACGTGTGCGGAGGTCCGACGTCTTCCTCCGACATTCGGTCAATATCGTTGGGTATGTACCTCGGCGGCCACATGTTGCTCCATTGCCCTATCACGTACTCTCGAGGCGCACCAGTGCCTAAGTCAGAAGAAGAGGACGAGGTCAAGAAAGGGCTAGTGCAAAGGGGGGAACGCTTTTGAGAAGGGCGCTCAAGCAAGAGGCGTGGGAGCTCAGAGAAGGTAGAATTTAGGAGTGACTTTTCTCTCAACCCTCGCGACACGTGACTTGCATAAATAAGGCGCATGAGATCAAGATTTTCGCATAACGAGAAGTAGAGAATGGGGGAGTACCTGAGGCGGCGGCAGGGGCATCGGAAGATGCAGAGTTGGAAGCTCCGGGTTGATTGGAGGAAGACATTCTTGATGCGTGTAGGCAGTGGGAGGAGAAAACACACAGAAGCGGAAGGCGCCTGGTCACAGCTAGCGAGAGGCTTAAGAGCAAGGCAACTTAGAGAGAGAAAGTAGAGAGATAGTGATTTTTGGCAGAATGAAGAGAGGGGAAGTAGTGGGGGCAATATATAGGTGAGGAAAGAGGGGGAGAGAGAGCGGAAGCGGGAAGGCGAATGGTCGCCTAGTCTGAAGGAAATTCGAATTTCGAAATTCGAATTTCGAAATTCGAATTATCCTTTAGACTAGGGGGAGGGGGGAATGGTCCCAATGGTCGAGGCGGAAGCCCAACGGTCCGTCTGCAATAAAGGAAAGTGAAATAAAAAAAGGAACGAAAAGTAAATAATAGGGGAAGGAAATGAGAGGAAGATAAACATAAAGGGGAAGGGGTGGCGCTTGATCAGCAGTAGGGATGGGAGTCAAAGCGCGGGTAGATGGAAAGTCAAGGGGTAGGCACACGCTGCGGGAATGGACCGTTAGGGAGGCGCATGCTTCCGAAGGAAAGAATGGAAAGAAAGCGTGCATAATGGACCGCGGAGGTGCTTAGTGGCACACTTAGGGAAGTTAGGCCCCTACAGGGTAGTAGGCGCTTAACTGTGGGCATATAAGAGCCCAAGAGGGAAGCCCAAAAGGCCGGATTGGGCCTGGAATGCGGGCCCAGCAAAGGGAAAGCCCAACCCAAAAGGGGACTTAGACTATAACATACGCGGTGGGGTCGGACCTGACGTAGGGCGCATGGCGACAAAAGGTGGCAATGCTCAGAAGCGTACGGAGGGGACAGGAAGTGGGGCCATGCGCCTTGGGGCCCTGGGCGAAGTGTCAGAATGTCGAGGCGCCTGACAAGGGTGAGGTACAATGCATTTAATGGTGTGATGACGTGGGGCAGATTTGGGGGGCAATGGTCGACCTCTACCTAGGGTATAAATAGTGAAGTTGGTGGAGCTCATTTACTGAGGTTGGATCTTCTCTCTGAAATTACTATTCACTTCTCTCTCTAAAAGCGATGGTTCTAACTTGGGCGTCGGAGTGTTAACAAGCCCGAAAGAGGGCTCGAGGGGCGCCTTTGTTTACAGGGGGGAGGCAGCTAGGACGGTGACATAGAAAGTGGAGTGGGCAGGAAGAAGGCGCATAGTTACGTGGCACAAATAGATATCCAATTCCATCATACCATTTCCACATGTGAATTATTATAAAATACAATAACATATTTAGCACATTTTTCAATACATTTTTTTCTCACATTGTCACAATTTTTTTTTTGAATAAACAATATGTTCTTCTATTATTTCGGGATGGGATACGGTCACTTCCCATAGAGGGGATGTGATTTTCGCTTCCCACTTCCCGACCGTAGATCCCCCTTCCTCATCCGATGATTCATAACACACCAAGGGCTTTTGTGTAAGTTGCTTAATTGACAAAAATTCAAAAAAAAAAAAAAATAAATGCATGGAGAATATTTTTATGCGTGATTTGTGGGATTGGATTACCACTAACCATAACCAACAACGACGGTTCCCTACCATTTCAGGATTCTTCATCATCAAAAGCAACGTCCGGGGCTTAACGGACTGGTAGCGTCAGATTGTCGGGAAGAACTTCTTGCTGCCGCCGGCATAATGAACGGTGACATTGGCTTCGACCTCAACGTCCCATACACAAGGAACGGCGATGTCGGCGTTGAAGAGGCGGAGAATGATGATGATGTTTTCATGGTGGATGAAAACCTCGGTTTTGACGTGGAGGAGCTGTTCCACGATGAGTTACTGGATAACGTCAACGTGGGGAACGACGAGGATTGCGAGCCGCACATAGTCTTGGATGACGACAACATGGCGAACGATGATGATTGCTTGCTGCAACCGATCGAGCATGTTGAAGAAGAGAACGTTGGTTTCCCCATGGAGAATGTCGCCGAAGCCAATAATCTCGGTAAAACTAACAAGTGTGATTACAGATTCGGTAGTGGTAGTAATTTTTATATGGTACGACTGATGCGAGGACAATAATGTACTGGTAGACATGTAGTGGCATACGATTAGTGGTAGTCATCCAGTGGTACTAATTTACTGGTATCAAATTTCCAGTGGTACATTAACATACCACCTAGTGGTAGTGGTCCAGTGGTACTAATCTAAAGTTTCCTTTTTAATTACAGGTGCGTTATCGACTATTGTCCCGGCGGTCATGTCAACATGGGAGCACTTGCGTTTCAAGAATCAAGATGAATTTAACAATTTTTACAAGTGTTTTGCACATGTACCACTACATGTGACTTTGTAATGGTGATAATTGGTTACTAGTGGTATCTGATCCCTACATTTAATAGTTAATGGTATATGTGCCACTCTTCTTTACCTATATTTGGTTAATGGTACATGTTATTAGTGGGTGCTGGAGACGACAAGTGGTAGTGGTACCAACTTGTTGTTTTTTATTGGTACTAGACTACCAGTAATACCTACTGGTACAATTACCTAGTGGTACCAACAAGTCAGTATATAATTAGAAAAATAAGGGCACTACTGTTGTAACACAAAACCATATCAACTGGTTAGCCAACATTATTGGTTTTCACCAACACATATGGAAAAAAAGGGATCTAAAAATTTGTACACAAAAGTGAAGCAGCGGCAGGACAATAAAGAGTTGAACAACAAGAGGAAAAAAAGCTCAACCTAAATATTGTTGGTTGTTTGTCTAGTTAGATGTTTCATTAAAAACTTTTGGTATGATACCGTTAAATTTGTCTCTTGTGGAATATATTACGTTATTGAGTTTTTGAAGTTGCATATTTTTGTTGCTAAACACTAGCTAACCATTTTAAAGTGTTCTCATGCAAATGTGCTTGTACGAATACCACTGATATTACCTACATGTACGTGTGCCATTGCTAGTTACTTGGTACATATACCAGTATTAATTATTAGTTCTTGTACCAGTTCTAACTACTGTTACATGTACCAGTACTATTAGTTGTACATGTACCACTAGTATTGAGTGGTACATGTCTCGCTACTAGTTATTCGTTAAGGGACTACTGGTACTTATCAATACTAGTTACTGGTACATCTACCAAAAATAGTCTACGTGTAATTAGAGAATGAGCTAATGCTTGATGTAACAGCAAGATTGACAATGGAACACAAAATCATAATAATTGCTAAACCAACATTAGTGGTTTTCTCCAACAGAATTGGTTCAAATTTAAAAAATATCACAACTAAAAGCCAACTAATGTTCAAGCTTTGTTCGTAGTCCAAAACGTACATAAACCAATAGCATACTCCTCAACAACTGGAAAAGAACTACTGTTGGGTCAGTTGAGTACATCCAGGGAGTAGTGGTTCCTTCATCTCAATAGCTTTCCCTGTTACTTCCTCAATCTTCAGCTTACTTAGGTTACCGATTATACTTTTAACCAGCTCTCCAGACCTATTCATTAGATAACTTCTTATGCTCCATTGTTTCTTCCATTCACCAACAAGTTTCCCTTCTTGGTACCAAAATAAAAACTACATTGTTAGACATATTGAATACAACTTACAATACTACCACTACCAAACATTCAACAGTGATAGTGTCGGAAATCCACGTGATACATGTATCACATGTATCACTAGTGGCACATGTATCACTAGTGGTACTCTGACATGTACCACTGAACCTGGTACCATTACCATTGCTTTTGTAGTGGTACCACGAAGCCAATTGAAAGTACCACTGTTGGATTCCAACGTTAGATTCAGGAAAAAAAAAACTTTTGGGATAAAGAACCCTAACCTGCGAAGCTTTTCACTTCCGCAGAAAGGGTCGACGGTGGATGGAACTCCGGTGATGCACTGAAAGAACAAAAAAACTAAATTGTTAGACCTTGGATTAAAGCAGGGCTCGCTGCTAGGAAACGACGATCGACGAGGGAAGGACGTTGGGAAACCAGGTCTCAGGCAAAGTAAGGGAGAGACGACAAAGCATGATTCTGAAAGAAAATTCAATTATTTGACTAGAAGAAGAGAGTGGAGGAAATATAGCGGACGCACCTCTACTCTGAACGACGAGGTCTTCGAACCAAGTGGAGAAACGAGCGAGATGTTGGATGGAAAGAAAGGGCGACGACGACGTTGATCGGCGATGGTGCATGGGTTCCATTTGGGGGTTTTGGGAGCATATGGAGGGGAAAGGTTTTGGGGAAGGCGAACGGTTTATTGCGGGGAAGGTGGCTATTTGGTCGCCGATAATCTTTCCCCTCTAAACTAGATCTCGCGTCCATAATAGGTGGAGTGGGTGAAATTATCCAGTGTGGCAGCTCTCTTTTTTGTCCCTGGTGAGTATGGACCGTAAGATCACGAGGAAGGAGGAAGGACGGCTATAAAAGGGGAAGCGAAACTCACAACCCCTTTAGGGGTTGTGACGCTATCTAATCCCTATTATTTCTATCTTTTAAATTTCCTTTTCTCTAAAATGTTTTATTACATATTCATATTCTTTGTCCTTTTCGGAAACAGAGTCGTTGGGTATAAGCAATTCGAGCGCCATCCATTAACTGCGGTTCGGTGCATCTATCAATTTTTATTTTTTGTTTGCAATTTTTGTTTTTCTTCTCTCTCCAGTCCGCACCAGAATCGACATTATTATTTTTATCATATTTACTCTTTTTCGTCGTCTTCCGTTGCCGGTCGTCATCTCTCATACATCAAAGTCAAACAATAACCCTTGCAATTTTAAAAATTCCCCTTCCCATTTCCGACTTTTCACTAAACACAGGGGTTGTAGTTGTTTACTTTGCGCATTTTGGCGGCCCACACTTACGCTGTTCCTTCTTCTTCACTTCCATTGGACCGCTCCGCTCCGCTCCGCTCCAGCCATGTTTTAATTCTCCATCTCTAAACGACTAAACCAATATAATAATATATCGCATCCGTTCATTTATACATTCTTATACTCTGGATCCTGATCTGAACCCTGCCCCTCCACCACCGGACCAGACACCGCGCAGGAGCTCATTAGTTCCTTCCCACCTTTCCCATATCTTTGGCGTAACACCGTAAGATTATGAAAAAATCCCAGTTCTGATTTTGTTAGTTTTCCTTTTCTTACCTCTCGGGCCGCCTCGCTAGGTTCTGTTGTGTGTTTTTCCGCAGACCACAGGGTGAGTGTTTCTTACCTCTCCCGGCTTTTATTCTACTGGGTTCGGTTCTGCATTCAATTTGAGGCCGGGTGTAAGCATGCCCTTGGTTTGCGTTGTATTTGCTTCTTTTTCCCTGGATTTGTGTAGGATCCTTTTCACTGTTAGGAGTTTCTGATGGGTTAGGGATTGGCAATGTTTCATCAGGAGGGAAAATTTTCATGAATAGAACCTGATGGTATTGCATAATTGGCTTGTGTAGAACCTGATGGTATGACGTTTTGCTGGAATCGATCCAGGCGTGAATGTAGTAACTTTAAAAACTGATCCTGTCCTTACCATCTTTTTGCTTGAACTTGGAACCAGACCATGTTGGAAAAGGAGTTTTTCACCGAGTATGGCGAGGCAAGCCAGTACGATATACAAGAAGTGGTTGGGAAAGGAAGCTACGGGATTGTTGCATCGGCTATAGATACTCACACCGGGGAGAAGGTGGCCATCAAGAAGATGAACAACGTCTTCGAGCATGTCTCTGATGCCACACGCATCTTGAGGGAGATCAAGCTACTTCGCTTGCTTCGCCACCCTGATATAGTGGAGATCAAGCACATAATGCTTCCTCCATCCCCAAGGGAGTTTAAAGATATCTATGTGGTTTTTGAGTTGATGGAATCTGATCTTCACCAGGTAATTAAGCTGAACGACGATTTGACTCCTGATCATCACCAATTCTTCTTGTACCAGCTTCTTCGAGGTCTAAAGTATATACATTCAGGTAAATTTCACGTTTCTTCTTGTTACCCCCTTCACTTTGTACTCGTGAGTTTCTCTGCTTTCCTTGAGATGGATGTTCTAATCGCTCTAACTGGTGAACAATTTATGCGATGACAGCTCACGTCTTTCACCGAGACCTGAAGCCGAAAAATATTCTGGCCAATGCAGACTGCAAGCTGAAACTTTGTGACTTTGGGCTTGCTCGTGTGTCATTTAGTAATGCCCCTTCCGCTATCTTTTGGACAGTATGTGTCAGCTGGACTAGTGTTGTTGGGATATACTCTGTAGCTCTGTCTCTTCTAATTTTCTGTTCCGTATCTGTGCAGGATTATGTGGCAACCCGATGGTATCGTGCCCCGGAATTGTGTGGCTCCTTTTCTTCCAAGGTTTGCATATGGATACTTCTGAAACTCAACATGTTGTTACTTAACTCTACTCTTGTGAGTTCGTGACTAGGATTAGGATAATTTCCCGTCACCTGTGTGCATTTTCTTGTGTGGTAGCGATTGATCATTGACTAGGATTAGAACTTACAAGGAACCAAATACATTGTAAACATCTGCTTTTGGATTGCTACCTAGTTGCTCTTGTTGACCTTATTGTGTTTGCACTTTGCACTTGTGTTGCATTTTTCACAAACGCACTTTGTGTTCTAGATAGTAGATACATACATTTTGTAAATAAAAGCTTTTGCATTTATTTATCAAGAGAACTAACAATCATTGATTGCTTTTTCTTGGAGTAGATTCATGTGCCGTGTATAGGATATTGTATGAAGACAGCAATTGTTTGGAGCAGCATTCAGTTGAGATATTGAAGGGTTTCTTCGCTTTTTTCTTCTTCTTTTTTCTGCAGTACACTCCTGCAATTGATATATGGAGCATAGGATGCATATTTGCGGAGTTGGTAACAGGCAAGCCCTTGTTTCCTGGAAAAAACGTGGTGCATCAATTGGATCTCATCACTGATTTGCTTGGCACTCCTCCTCCTGCTACCATTGCACGGGTTTGTTATCTGCTCTTCTGTCAATTTATCTGGGGTGTACTCACTATATAGAATTGTGCTTGATTTTGAGCAGTAAAAACTTCTTTGGCTGTATACATTGTGATTGGTGTTCCAGATAGGGAATGAAAAAGCTAGGAAGTATCTGACTTGCATGAGCAAAAAGCAACCAATCCCATTCACCAAATATTTCCCCGGCAAAGACGTAGCGGCTCTTCGGTTACTGGAGCGCATGCTAGCATTTGACCCTAAAGATCGTCCATCTGCTGAAGAGGCAAGTCTCCTTATTTTCCCGTTAAACTAAACTATTATATGCTTCCTGCATTTATATCTTGTAGAAAAGGTTGTGGCTTGCTGGTTTTGCTTCTTCCGAATATTTTGGGTTGACATCTATCATAATCATCAGCATAATCCTCTGTCTAGGCACTGGCTGATCCATACTTCCATGGCCTGGCTAATTTGGAGAATGAACCAACTAGGGTACCCATTTCAAAACTGGAGTTTGAATTTGAAAGGAGAAGACTGACACGAGATGATGTAAGGCAGTTAATCTACAGAGAGGTACGGCAATTTCATGCTCTTTATATTTATTTATGCTTTAAATTCTGTGGATGTTGTTGCTCTCCTCTGTTGCTCCTCGGTGACTTAACTTATAAATCAAATAGATCTTGGAGTACCATCCTGAAATGCTAAAAGAGTACCTCCGGGGCATAGACCAGACTCACTTCGTGTATCCTAGGTAAGTTGAAAGCTTCAGGACGGTAAAGTACCTAAGTTGTACGCCTACAACTTGTCTTACCGTCTGGCACTTTAATGATCGTAGCATTACATTATAATTAGTCTTGTACTCATTTGGTTCCCTCTTGGTGGGTTTCGTGCCAAAATCTGCTGTATTTTTTTCCATATTTGGGTAGGCACAGCTAGCTGTATAGATTAACACCGGGTCAATCTTTCTCTTATCAGCGGAGTTGACTGGTGCAAGGAACAGTTTGCTTGTCTGGAGGACGAAAATGGCGATATAATTGAAAGAACCAGCCCAGTACACAGGAAACATGCCACCTCTTTGCCAAGGTTTGTGTTGGGCGAAAAGTCCTCTTCATCACTGTCCTTTGTGCTGTTCTTCTCTCTTATAATTTGCTCTTCAAGTGATTCAAGCCCTGCCCTCTTTTCAATGTTCTTTCAGGGAAAGGGTGTGCACCATTGATGACCATGATGATCCCAAGAAGGGGGGCTGCCACTGTTCTCATGGTTGTGCTGATAATGCAAATCCGAATTCCAGTTCTGTTTCTCGTCCAGCGACTGTACAATGCCAGAGCCCTCCTTCACTACCAGCTGAGGAATCATCGCTGCCGCCTTCTGCTAACAAAAAGAGTAGCACATTATCCAAACAGAGCAGCAGCGGCAACCCCATCACACCAACTTGCAGCAGTGGGTGCAGCCTGCTGAAGAGCGACAGCATCTGTGCATCCATGTGTGTTGGTATCGTTGGAAAAGATCGGTAGGTTCATGCTCGGTGAATTTGACAGATGGATGGTGACGGTGTTGCTGCTACATCTGGAATTTGGAAGGCGGGTCGTGAATTCCTCCAGTTTTTATTGCTTGATGATGATGACGATAAGGTTACTGATGTTTGCATGTAATTGTGGGTACATTGTGATATCTGTTTTGTACTAACCAGCAACCGTTCTGTATTCTGGTTCTTCGATTTGGAAATACTGGGATTGTGCTTATGGGGCAGCAAGTGCAAAAACCTCCTCTGCGTAGCCATTTGATTTGTTTTCTTCGGTCTTTAAAGGAAACCAAGAAACAAAACTAATCACAGCAATATTTTCAGAACGGAATGGAGTATGAGCTACATAATCTAGAAGAATGAAAAGATTCAACCACAGATAAATCAAGATTTCAATACAAAATATCTATCAATCACTAACTTTTTTCAACATATATTCCATTATTATTTCACAATTATTTGTTTTAAGTAGTGCTAAACCATTAAAAATCATCAACGAACCGATACATCATAATAAAATATTATATGTAGAATTGTAGACTAAGAATTATTTGGAAGTTGCGATTGTTTCTTTGAGATTGTTACTATACTCGAATTGTTTAGAATGCATCATTTTTTTAGGGGTTAATTGCATGGTTGGTAACTGAGATTACAAAAAACGTTCAAGTTTGGTCACTCGAAATATTTAAATCCATTGGTAATACTTAAGTTTACTCAAACCCTTCACGTTTGGTCACTCTCCGTCCAACTCCGTTAACTTTTGCTTACGTGGCGGTCAACTCTAAAAGTTGACCGTTAAATGTGTGACGTGGCAATTTAAAAATAATAAAATTAAAATTCAAAATTGTCATCTCATTTCCACCTCATTATCACTTTTATTTAAAATAAATAAAAAACCCTAATTTCTTCTAATCCCCAATACCAATAGTCCAATACCCTACCCTATAGCAGCATACCCGTCGTCGCTTCCATTGCAACCAAAGAGGACCAAGTTCTGGTCAAGGTCGTCGCCGCCGCTCTCAACCCCCGTGGATTTCAAGCGGAGGCAAGGGAAGTTCCAAGCCACTGATTCTGCTCTTCTGGTAGGTTAAACAGTCGGAGTAATTAATTCCTCAATTCTTTCAATTAGCTGTACTGCCTGTTTCATTACTGAGAGAAAATTTATAATGCATCTTTATATACTGTTCCAGGGTATGATGTTGCTGGAGTGGTGGTGAAAGCTAGAAGCAAAGTGAAGGAGTTCGAAGAAGGAGATGAGGTTTACGACGATATTCACGAGAAGACCCTGAATGGGCCAAAACAGATTGGTTCCCTAGCGGAATGCACGACCGTGGAAGAGAAATTGCTGGCTCTTAAGTTCAAGGGTCTGGATTTCGCTCAGGCTGATGCGTTCCCTCTTGCAATCGAGAAGGCTTATGAAGGTCTGGAGAGAACTGGGTTCTCTTTTGGGAAATCGATTCTGGTCCTCAATGGCACTGGTGGTGTGGGAAGCATTGTGATTCAGAGGTTAGAATTGTTGATAATCAATGTTTGTATAACTTGCATTTCTCTAAAGTTTGAAAGGTCTTGAGGGGTTTGTTGATTGGGTAATAACATTTGCAACTGGCGAAACAAGTGTTTGGAGCATCAAGAGTTGCAGCCACTGCCAACACAGGGAATTTGATCCATTGGAGTTACTGAAGAAATGAGTACTGGTGGTATTTTTGCAGGGCAATGCAAGAAGGCGGTGAAAGCTATAAAAGAAGGGGGAAGTGTGGTGGCTTTGACCGGAGCAGTGTCGCCTCTAGGTTTCAGATTTGTGGTCGCTTCCAATGGAGAGGTTATGAAGAAACTCAACCCTTATCTGGACAGTGGTAAGGTGAAGGCAGTGATTGATCCCAAAGGCAGTAATTAATTTTAATTTTATTATTTTTAAATTGCCACGTCACAACTTTAACGGTCAACTTTTAGAGTTGACCGCCACGTTAGGAAAAAGTTAACGGAATTGGACGGAGAATGACCAAACGTGAACGGTTTCAACAAACTAAAGTACCACCAAGGGATTTAAATATTTCGAGTGACCAAACTTGAACATTTTTTGTAATCTAAGTGACCAACCATGCAATTAACCCTTTTTTTTAGCAGGCACGCACAATACATGGATTGTTTCTGTGATGTGATAGAAATTATCATTCAAAATGAGTGTTGTTATATCTTAGCTTTTATGCTTTAGCTATGATTGTTGAGATTGTTTTATTTCATAGTGGATGTGACATCCACAATCACACATACCAAACGCTATATTTTACAATGCATCAAATTCGTCAATACATGTATAATATTATACGTGTATCTACAACAATACATTTATTTAACAATTACAACTTCCAAATGACCCCTTGTTGGGAGCCGAGAAGAGACGAACTGATGAAGTGCACCCAAACTATCGAAATTATCCACACATAAGTTATTATAATTACAAATTTGCCATTGATGACGTCATTTCAACATTTTCCCTATTTCACTTCTTTGTGTTTCGACACAGCACTCTGACACTCTGAGTTCACGGACGCGTTGAAGAGTTCACGACCGTGAACTGAGCCCGATCCCAGTATAAAACGTGAGATGGAAGGAAGAGAGAGGGAGAGCTCAAGAGTGAGAAAACACCTTCTTCTTCAGATTTTAGAGAGAGAAAGGACGAACCAAAGAAGAAATGACGCTAGGGTTTGCTCCAAGTGATGAATTGGGAAGAATCTCCTCAAGAGAAGATCAACACAAGATCAAAGGAGTGTGGAGGCATCACCATGATGGTTTCTATTCTTTTGTGTTCTTCCCCTTTCTAGCATGGAGTAGTTACATTTTTCACTTAGGTGTTGTGAAACCCTAAGTATTTGCCATGTAGTTATAGTATGAATTGAATGATTGTTTATGGGTGTTGTTTAATTTAATGATTGGGGTATTTTTCATGATGATTGTGCATGTTTGTGCTTAGCAATCTAATTGGCCATTCTAACATAGGTTAGAGGGGAAACACCCCTTTCCAAGAGAGGCTCAATTGAGTTGGGATTCCTTGGGCTTTTCAGGCCACTACCTAGGTTAATGTAGGGCAAACCTCTATCTTGAATTAATCGACTAGGTTAATCGTGCTTAAGCCGTCCAACCATCGGTTTGAGGAAGAAGGTAAGTCAACCCTCATTTGCCTTAACCAAGAGGGCTACTCTAGTAGCCTATAATGTATCCTTTGGTTTGACAATCGAGAGTGTGGTCTTCGACCATAGTTGCATCTCCTAGCGGTTCACGATTGCCTTGCCTATAACGTCTCATTCCAGTCCACGTGCTATGGTAGTAGTTAGGGGAAGCGACACCCGAGTGATCCTTCTCATCTAGAGCTTTCAAACCATTTACCTTGGCTTTGTTTTAATTTAAACCTTGTAGTTTTCAACCAAAAATCAATCCGCTAGATAATGTTTCAAACAATGAAAGTAGGGGTACCTGGACCGGCCCGGGTTGATATTTAAACATACTTGCCCTATATTGCACCCATCTAAGGTTTATACTTGGGCCCTAGGTGGGGTTTTGTTGTGATATTTGGGACGAGTCAATAGTGTATAAAACTCAAAACAAAAGATAGCCATAAATCCAAAAGGAAGAAGGGTAGTAAGGTAATATATATCTTAAAGCTATAAATCCATAACCCAAAATCCATGATCAAATCAACTAAAGAAAAAATGGACTCTTTCAAATCCATAATGCACCTAATCCCTAATAAATCCCAAGGTTTTTAAAATCCAAGTTATGACCAAAACCCTCATTTTCAAATCCAACAAGCCAACGAGCCTAAGAGACATCTATTGGGGAGCAGTTGTAATCCTAGTGCACTGACAATCACGCATAACCTTCCACATTAGCATCACATCACTATTTATGGAATACTTTAATCTTTTCCCCTCTAAATTGTCATGGGTTATAATTTTTCATTTTAATTCAAAATTTAATTTTGTTGCACAGATAAATTAGATTAATTATACTCTTCAAAATGATATCCACTTTGATATATTTTTGGAATATTTTTTTAGGCATTTAGTTTAGTATATACCATGACAGTATTGTTTGGTATTTTACATAAAAGCTTACCACGTGGTATGAATTTATCATTGTGGTATGAACATACCAGATTCTAGAATGGCTGAATTCATGATAGTAGGAATATACTCACTGTCATTTACAACTTTCAACATTGTGTACTACAAAAAACCACTCCAATACTAGGGTGGTATGTGGTTATATTTTTTAGTCCTGTATTTTATTTCTCAAAAATTTATTGATTCAATAGATCATATGATGAAATCATCCTTTTATGTAAAAAATTTCAAAATTGACTTAAAAACGAAGGATATTCTATATGCTATGGAGGTGGTAACAAGTGGTATTAAAAAAAATTTCTCGAAATATATTGAAAATTGTTCTCATTTTGTAGAGCAAAACGAACTCGTTCCATCTGTGCACAAAAATTTGAAATCCAATTTAAAACGTAGAAGATAAGAGATGATTAAGAAAAATAAAAAGCCATAAATTATTCAACCCTTATATCTGGGGCCCACTTAAAATGGGGGTGGGGGGGGGGGGGGGTTGGACAGTACAGGGGAAGCCGAGACACTGCGTGGTGTTTTTGTGGACAATACAGGGAAAGCGACGGTGGAATTAAATCAAACTAGTGGATTGGGGGAGTCGCGAAGCGTTGGAGTTAGGCATGACAATTGGGACTCAAAGTTTGGGTATTATCCAAATCCATCGATCTTATTATGGAAAAAATAAAGTTTGGATAATTTTGCTTTTGGGGTATACCCATACCCGATCTCTTTGTTTGGATCTAAATTGGACCCATAGAAGTCCAAAAGAAAATGGGTACCTAGTTGTACTACAATTTTTTTCTGTTATGAAAATAATTGAAAGATGGAAATACCTACATTAAATGTGCACAATTGGGTTGAAAGTAGTTAATGAATGGTTGATATTGTTTTTGTGTATATAATCATCTAGATCCAATAAGATCCATTTGGGTTAATCCAAATGAACTGACCCAATTAGGACCCAATTTGAACTTAACCCATACCCAAAATCATTGAAAGTGCCCATGAATCCATTTGGGTCTGACCCAATACCTATATGGAATATAACATTTGGGTATAATTACTCAATGAGTCTACCCATTGTCATGTCTACTTGGAGAAGTGGGAGAGAAAGAGTTCTGGAAAATACAAGAGAGATTCTGATAATCGGCTTTAATATATCAGATTTTTGAACTTTGTGCGACTATCCCATTATATATTTAAGCCGATTGATGCTATTGTAGGGCTCCCTAACCCGAGAATGGTTGAAAAACCATTACTGCCTAGTG